AAAAAAAAAAAAAAAAAAAAAAAAAAAAAAAAGTATTTTTAATTTAGAAATGATGGTAAATTATATGTCAGCTCAGTCCATTACAAACCAGACTGTCCTCTATCTTTTGCATTAAATGCATGGTCAGGCACTATATGAAACAGTGATATAGCCGGACGGTGGTGGTGCACACCTTGAATCCCAGCACTTGGGAGGCAGAGGCAGGCAGATCTCTGAGTTCAAGGCCATCCTGGTCTACAGAGTGAGTTCCAGGACAGCCAGGCTACACAGAGAAACCCTGTCTCCAAGGGGGGGGGGGGGAGCAGTAGTGATACAATCTTTGAAAAACTGACAGTAATAATTTATTCCTACCAAGTTACAAAAAGTTCAGGAGCTTCAGATGCAGGTTATTCAGTGTGGTACATTAATTCTCGGTGCTATCTTTCTGCCACTGAATAATACAACTTACTTCTAAAACAACTTGTAAGGGAAAAAAAGAAAAAGAGTATAGCTCAGCAGAGTGTATGCCTAGCAGCACAAGTCCCTGGGCTTGGGCCCCAAGACCACATAAAACCAGGCATAGTGGCAGCACATGCTTGTCTGTAATCTCAGCATTGGGAGAAAAAGGAAGGACCAGACATCCAAAGTCATCCTTGGCTACAAAAATCTTAAAAAAACCAAAAGGAAGAAAAGGCCAGATGTAGTGGCTTCCACATGAAATCCCAGCACTCAGGAGAGGCTGAGTCAAGAGGACTGCTATGAGTTTGAGGCTGGAGTAAGCTATAGTTTCATAATAACAAAAGCCTAATGACATAATCACTCAAAAACTGCATTCCCACAGTCGTCATGCCATCAAGTGATGTATTTCAAATAATTTTAAAGTAAATTTAAAATTACTGTAAGAGAAAACAGATTACTTTAACATTGTTAATCAATGATCAAATATGGACTCACACAAAGTCCATGATCCAAAGCCAAAATCAAGAATTTTATTAATTAGGAAACAAATATAAAATATCAAAGCTAATAAAAGATCTATGAAGGTTAAGAAGTAATCTGTTTACATTCATGAAATTTCAAATACTAACAAAAACTAAAATTATCAATAGGCAAAGTTTCGCTTGACAAAAAAATAGGAATTAAACATAAGCACATGGGAGCATGAAAATCTTAACAAAATCCACAGCTCCTCATGTGCAAAACAGCAACGATCCTAGTGACTACCTCTTGTAGCTCTACTGAAGATTAAAGGAGCTGATCTCAGTAGAGGCTGGCTATCATGCCACTACATCACAGGAATCAAAGCATAGGAGATCTCAAATTCAAGAGTCAGAGCAATTTCTATTCCAACAGCAAGAATATCTTTGAAAACAAATAGGATCGTGGAGTCAATTATTTAGAACAGTTTTCCCTTTAATTTTATATTGTATTGGGGGGAAATATTTCAATATAGCATGGATATTGATGATCTACTACTCCTCATTCTACAGTCACTTGTGAATTAGTACAGATGGACTATACAGGTATGCCTTTGATCAGGAATTCTATGCTCACTCAGACAGACCTAGAGCCTTTGTTTCACACGTAGTCTTCAAACTTAACACTGTTATTTTCTAGTTTGTACTTCCCATAAGTATATACGTTTACTCTAAGAAAAACTCCCTGTGCAAATGTAAGTTTTTATATTATCAAGGTAATCATTACGTTATCTCCTGAAAGTTATCTCCTCCCGAAATCCAACTACTAGAGACATTCATAAATTAAGAACTGAACATTGAGTATGGATGTCTTCAAATTCTTTTAGTAAATTAGTTATGAAAATAAGTTACACATCATTAACTAAAATGCAAGCCAGTTCTTTACTTCCATTTCAACTAGCTTTTCTTTTCTTTTTTTTTTTTTTTTTTGAGAGTCTATCCAGTGTAGTAGCCTCAGTCTGAGAAAAAGATGACCTTGAACATCTGACTCTTGTCCTCCCAAGTGCTAGGATTACAGGCTTGTGCCACCATGCCCATCTTATCTTTATCAGTTTCAATAGCAAAGAAAAGTATAGGGAGCAAAGAGTTAAAAAGAAAATTAATGATTATTAATTTTTAATAAATGCCTGTAAAGCTACTATTATTAATGAAATTATATTTTCAAAAGCTAAATAATTGTTTCACAACTGAAGGAAGAAAACAGACAAAATGCTAATTTAGTACAAAAACTCATCCCTCCTATGAAGTAATTCACTTAGTGCTTATGACTTGATTTCCAACTTTTGCTTTGTCTTTAAATTTTAATATATTTATGTAAAAAAGCCCTGACAAGTACAATCTATTTGCTCTTATTTTAAAAAATAGATTGACTCCTCAACAGAACAGATTAACAAGTCTGGATCTTAAATAATACAGGTATAAAAACTAACAGTAAAATTATTTCAAAAAGACTAGCCAATCTTCATCAATGAAAGGATGAGGTCAAATATGATAAAGCGAAAGTCATCTTTTCTATGGCTTTACCATCTAATTATAAAATCAAGATAAAGAGACCGGGTATGGGGGGAAGGGGTTTATACATATTACCTTTCATTTTTACTGTCAAATTTTTAGCTTTCAAGCACACCGACAAAGTTTCACATTAATAATATTTATATTTTAATAATATCATTTTGCCTTTCATAAGATTTAAAGCACTAGTTGATAATGCTTAATAAATGTTACACTAATACAATAAATGAACAAATATTTACTGAGTAGGTACCATGTACCAGGCAACTAATCTCCAAGTGTGATCACACAGGAAACTAGTAACTGGTGCAAATAGACAAATTTAGGGTCTGCTCTCTCTCCCTCAGGAAAAACAAAAACCTTGTTTTATAGGTCTTAAAGCCACTGCAATCTCAAGTGGCAATAATGGGAAAAAAAGTCACTCATAATCTATACTCCCAAATGTTGTACTCCTATGATTGTAAACAATTATCTTAAAAGTTTGTTGCCAATAAATAAATTCTTTTTGGCAATTCACTCAAAATGATTTATAACAACCTTCTCATTTTACTGTTTCCCACTACTTGTCAGGTTTGGAATTAGAAAAACTATTTCACAGTAGTGGTAATTATAACACATCTTACATCAAATAGCAATTTCTCTACCAATAAGGCAAAACTTTCAGTCCTGAAGTTTAAGTTCAGAGTTATTTTATCATAACCAATTACAACTGGAAATCAATTAAAATTAATTTCTATTGTAAAGAGAGAAAAATCATCTGAGTTCTACACCATGCAAGTAGCACAGACCCTAGAACCAGTCTTTTTTCTTTGGAGATCAGACTGTAAACATTCTAGGCTATGCATGAAATTGTAATGGGAAAGCAACCACAGTATCTAAATGAGCAGTCCAGGTATGCTGGGGAGAAGGGGGAGTGGAGTGGGGAAAAAATATTTCCAAAATCAAGGGGACACCCAAATCCAGGATGTTGGAAACAGGACAGGTTCAAATGAATTTCTTGGTCTTAATGTTTTAACTTCTGACCCCATTGTGATGGCAAATGTCTTTAATCCCAGCACTTAGGAAGCAGAGGCAGGCAGATCTCTGAGTTCCAGATTAGCCTAATGAATTCCAAGTCCACCAAGGATAGTGAATTAAACTTTGTCTCTAGAAATAAACTTCACATCTAACCATTACGTGGATTTTCTTAACACTGTTAACAGCATTGATAAAGCTTACAATTCCAAATTAGTAATTTAAACTATGTAGTGACACTTAAAATTAAAAATGAAACCCAACAAGTAGATTAAGACTTACTAAATGCTTCAAAAATGTCTATGGTATAGGTAATTTCATTCCATCTGGGATCCACATTTCTGCAAAAGACAGAATAGATTTTATTAAATCCTATAAATTATATCACAACTGCAATACTTTCTAAGGAACCAACAAATCAAGAAATACAGTTTATGAATAGATTAATTCAAGCAAAAGACAGGAAAATTGTGACAACGTCTTAGATTTGGCAGTGCAGGAGCTGACTTCTAGAACAAGTTACTAAAATAATAAGCCTATGTCTCAGTCTAAGAACTCCAAAGGAGTAATTATTGAGGTTCTACATGAAATCTCACTGACTATCCAGGATTGAAAATAGAATACAAGTAACAGTTTAAAATTAGCTGGGCAGTGGTGGCACACACCTTTAATCCCAGCATTTGGGAGGCAGAGACAGGAGGATCTCTGTGAGTTCGAGGCCAGCCTGGTCTACAGAGCTAATTCCAGGACAACCAGGGCTGTTACACAGAGAAACCATGTCTCAAAAAACAAAAACAGTACAGAATTAATCCATACTCCCATCTAATATACTTTTAAACCTTCTAAAAAAGGCCTTTGCTACCTATCTCCAAGATCATTTTTCTCCCATGACCATATTACTTCATAAAATCATATGCTAGAATCAACATTAATATAATCATGTACATAATATTTCTAAATAAAATGTTACTTTAGGCATCATTTCAAATTACTATCAATTGTACTATTTGACTAACACTATTTCTTTAAGACTTATTTTTACCACTTTTGTATCTATGTGTGGGTATGTGCACGTCTGCACAAGTCCAGAAGAGGGCATTGAATATTCTAGAGCTGGAGTTACAAGCAGTGTAAGTGCTGAGAACCACACTAGGTCCCCTCCAAGGATACTATAGGCGTCTAAGTGCTGAGCCATTTCTCCAACACTAACACTAAGTGTTATATACGCAGTTGGTTTATCAGGACTTTTTACTAGTTACTGAAGAGTAAATATGGAAAATATCTCACATCTCATGTACTTTCTGAAATAAGGATGGGTTTTCCATTTGCCTTGGTTTTGCATGATTACAATAATCACAAAATAAGAAAGAGGTGTTCAGCTGGAGCATCTGGGCTCGCCCCACCCAGTCCAAAACACCTCCACCCAGAGTCTCCTAACAAAGGAAAGCGCCAAAAAGCCCAGTTCAGCATTCTTGGCGGCTACTACAACTTCTTCCTCCGAAGTGGCCAGCAGCCTAACCACTTGGCCTTTGACCATACATAGGCACAACCCCAGCTTGTGGTGGACATGTCATCACCCCTTGCCTACAACCTATAAAATCTCCCTTTAGTTTTAGAGCACAACCTCTCAGGTCTAGATCTCTGGGTGAACCCCCCTGGGAGCTGCTTTGCTCAATATACCTGTTGTATTTTTCTAATTTGGCATGATCTGGCTTAATGAGTCAGCAGAGTAACTTATGGGAGGGGGGGGGCTACAGACAGAAACTTTAAGAGGTATAACTAAGTGGTATAACACTTGACATATGGGAGGCCCTGAAACAAACAAAAAAATAAAAACATGCAAAAAAAAACTGAAAGTTAGGGTCATCCCAGCACTCAGGGGGTTAAAGCAGGAAGATCATGAGAGTTCAATGCCAGCTTGGGATATATACAGGCAACTGTATCCATCAACAAGAGACAGTGATAGGCTCACCAGGTAAAAATGCTTGCTGACATGACAAGGAAGCTGACAGGAACTAGTATGGAAAAAGAGAACTGACTCACATAGGTTTTCTCTGACCTACAAACACACAGAAGTTTTTTTTAAAAGCTTAATATAAAACTGTAGCAACTTAAGATTTTTAGAAAAAGAGAAAACAAACCAAAAGTTTAAGACTTAAATTAAGCTATCAAACTAACTTCCTAGGAATTGTTTGCAAGTGCCCTGTTTATGTATCAAATCTAAATTCATTTTTGTAAAGCATAACCAAAAAAACACAGCAAGGACCTGTTTAAAAGTTACTATTGAAGTAGGTACTAAACTATCTTCATAAGAAAACAACGCAAGGCAATGATCTTCAAATTTTTAAATCTCTAGTGTAGTCTGACCTAACAGGAAGAGGATTTTGTGAACAAAGTCAATCTTAACACACTAGGAAACTAAATTGACTCAGAGCAAGAGATGCCCATCAGTGACAGAAAAAGGCTTCCCCAGCTTATGAGAACTTTGCTTCAAATAGTATCATAAAAAGTAAAACAATAAACTGATTTAAGGTCCTTTAAAGGGGTAGGAAATGTTTAAGAAATCTTGGAAAAAAAAGTGTTTCTAATATTTCTAAGAGAAATCCCTCATAGTGGTTTAGTAATACAATTATAAGTCGTTCTACCATTCCAAGAAATTTTTAGGTTCTAAAACCACCAAAAAAGGGCTTTGATCTCACTGTACATTCGAGTGAAATTAACACTGATGAAATCTGGCATAAGATCTCCTTTCCCAAAGGTGAGAAAGTACAGAATAGTATTTTACCACCCTTTAAAATGGGATGAAGATCCCAGTTCAGTTTAAGTAGAATAGAAGTCTGATTTTCTTCAAACTCCTATCTCACATATTTTAAAATGTACTTTGTGACCTAAAAATAAACTTTAGGGAATATAAACAAGCATATAATGCTGGCCCTCTGGCAGTAAAAGTGAAGAACTTTGTTGCTTCTTAAATCTCTTAAACTTTTAAACTCTAAGATTAAAATCTAAGAATAATGAACTATAAGAAAATGTTTACAAAAGTAGGCTAGTGAGTCCTTTGAAAGACACAGGGTGTACTGTGGTAACCCAAGCATTTCTCAGGTACTGCAAAGGTTCTTCCTGGTAATCTCTGTCCAGCCTGAGCAGTCCCAAATAAACAAACAAACAAAGGTATTAGCATTTCATAAGAAAACTGCTTTAAAATAAATAGTAAAGGTAGGCATGATGGTCGACACCTGAAATCTCATACCTCAGGAATAAGGAAACTATCTCAAAAAAGAAAAAAAAAAAAAAACACATAAAGCATGTATTTTAAAACCACCTGAATAATCTGAATTAAAAGGATTATGATTACTGGTACATATTAACCATTTAATTCTTGTGGCTCAAGAGATGACTCAGTAGTTAAGGTACTTGTTGCTCTTCCATAGGCAAATGGTGACTCACAACCATCTTTAACTCCAGTTCCAGAGAATCCAACAACCTCTTACGACCTCTAAGTGCACTAGGCATGCACACAATGCAAATACATACATGTAAGTAGAACATTCATTCCCATACAGTTTTTTAAAGCTTAAAAAACTCTGAGTTAAGCCGGGCAGTGGTGTCACACGCCTTTGATCCCAGTGCTGGGAGGCAGAGGCAGGTGTTTCTCTGTGAGTTCAAGGCCAACTTGGTCTAGAGGGAGATCCAGAACAGCTAAAGCTATACAGAGAAACCCTCTCTCTTGAGAGAAAAAAAACAAGAAACAAAAAAACCTGAGTGTATTTCCTGCAACCCACAACATGAAAGAAACCTACTCCAAGTTGTCCTCTAACCTTCAAATTTGCAAACACATACACAAATAAATTAAATATAATTAAACTAAGTTTAAGGTGAAAAGGTTTCCTGAAACACAGACCTATGGAGCTTTATGAAATAATGTATAAATCCTAACATCAGAAATGCCATTTTTAGGGCAGAAGAGATGGCTCAGTGGTTAAGAGCACTGATTGCTCTTCCAGAGGTCCTGAATTCAATTCCCAGCAACCATATGGTGGCTCACAACCATCTGTAATGAGATCTGGTTCCCTCTTCTAGACTGCAGGCAGACATGCAGACAAGGCACTGTATATATAATTAATAAATAAATAAATAAATCTTCTTAAAAAGAAAAAAGAAATGAGATGCCATTTTTAAAAAAAAACAGATCAGTCCCCCGACTCCCCAAAAAAGAAAAAGGTAGTGGTGAGCACCTTTAATCCCAGCACTAGGGAGGCAGAGGCAGGTGGATCTCTGTGAGTTAGAGGCCAGCCTGGTCTACAGAGTGAGTTCCAGGATAGCCAGAGCTTGTTATTGAGAAGCATGTCTCAAAAAAAAAAAAAAAAAACAAGTAACAACAACAAAAAAGAATCAGGTCACCTATCACAAAAGATCCATAACATTCTTAAATTTAGGGTGTCAGAAATGATGGCTGGCACCTGTAATCCCAGGCTAACGCAGAATTACTACCTTAAATTCAAGGGCAGCCTGGGCTACACAGTAAATTCTTGTTTCAAAAAGCCAAAAGTATGTCACTAAGATGGCTTGGAGCTTAACTGTGTTTTGATGTCAAGCATGACATTCCACATAGAAAAGCCAATTCCTAAAGGCTGCCCGACTCCATGTTCACACAAGTATATAAATGATAAATGCAATTTTTTAAAATAAAAAGTAAAGCTGGGGATAGCTCAGATACAATGGTGTTTTTCTACTGTGAACAAGTCCATGTTAACAAAGGAAAACAAAAAAACAAGTAAAAAAATTAAAAATGTTAATTACGGCAAAAATAGCCACTTTGAAAATAAACTTTGCATTCAACCTAGAAAGGAAATTTGTGAAATGAGGTTATTGGCCTTTGAAATGCAGAATCATACTTTTACTTAAAATAATTATTTCTATTAAAAGGAATAAAACATGGAAGGCATGTAAACTACAAATCTTGTTTATAATGATGGTCAGTTGTAAACATGAAAGTGGTCATATTTAAATATGTTTACTAAAATAAAAAAATTTTTAAAGTTTTCATAGCAGAATTCTAAATCTTCACTGCTTAAAGACAACTTTTTTTGAGGCAGGGTCAAGTAGCTGATGACCTTGAACACCTGACCTCCCTGCCTCCACTTCCCAAAGGCTAAGAATAGACATGTACACAACCAAGCAGTTTTATTTAGTATTAGTGATGAATCCAGGGCTTTCGGCATGTTAGGAAAGCCCTCTACCAACTGAGCTATATCCTCAGGCTCCATTTCATACTTAATTATTTTCCGGTATCTGCATTTACACTGTGAATACTTTGGAATACATCACAATTATTTAGGCAATTGTCCTATGTTTTATGATTCTAGTAGTTTTACAACAGAAATATCCGATATGCAATCAATCCACATCTAAGATACTCCTCGGGATTATTTTTATCACGAAATTTAAGAGTTAAATGAGATGAAAGCTGTAAACTCTAAATCCTTCGCACAAATGAAAAAATTAAAGTCTCCAGAATAAATGTCAAGATTATATAGCCTATTTACATTTTAGGTGGAGTACCCTGATTGCTGAACCATCACATACATCTGATTCAACAATAAAATGCCAAAGGAAACACGTAACAAGTTTTTATATGGTCAAGAAACTGATCAAAAAACTGAAAGTTAAAGAAAATTTACATTATAAACTACCCATATCACATACTAAAAACTATAAATCATGATCCAAAAACAATTATGATTAGCTGCAACACGGCTTCTTTCCATTTTTTGGTATATCAATCTTCAAAAGTTATCAAAACATTAAATATATTCCAACATAAACACAACTAGATAAGAAGAGTTTTAAGAATGAAAGAATGTGTCCACAACACTAAGATAAAAAAGTATTTATTACTACAGTTCTTAAGTAGAAAATACTTGACAAAAACTTACCTTGGTTATACAATAAAGCACATTATCTATTACATATACCTTTGTAGGTCATATAATCCCATCTACATAAGACAGTATTTGACAACTGCCCTCATGTGCTCAAGAAATAACTACTCACACAATGAATTGTAAGTACCATCATGAAGAGGATAAGAAATGTTCTTCATAAAATAGAATTTAACCATTTATCTTGGTTATAAAAGTTGCCTCTGAAAGGCTAGGAATTAATTTAACAGTTACTACATCACTTATTAAAATGAACAAAGCTTAAAATTTCATTTAAAATTTTCTAACTTTCAGCTATTTACTTTTTCTGTTCAAATTCTACCTCAGATAAGGCCATTATGAACATATTGCCTATTTAGACTTAACTTCTGATTGTATCATATAAAACACCTCATTCTCAATTTCTATTCAGTATTCAACAAATGCCAACTATACATTCTATCAGCTAATTTTGGCATCTGTTGTAGGAATATGAGATTAAAGATACTTTTGTGTATATTCTATCTTTGAAAATTTATAGACTCTAAAAGTCTATCATTTTCTTTGGAAACAATAATACAACCTTGAACAAACTGCAAAAATACTTCATTATGCAAACACAAAAGCAATAAAAACTAGTCTATCATCCTTATTACCTATTTGAATCAAAACAAGGTAACACAAACTTAATTTTCCACAGATTTCCAAACTATAAGTAAATATGCCCTCATTTTAATTAATTAGTTGCTTGGTTACTTTTTTTTTAATATTCCAAGGCATCACTTATTATTATATATTTTCTCTGGTCAATTACTTAAAAATAGTAATTGAACATTATTTCTGGATTCAAGCTCATATGGACAGATTTATTTCTTCACATATACTAGTAGTCACATTTTCTTCAATCACCTTAATATTCACCTATTAAGATTATTAATGCATTTAGTTCATGGTATGCTGAATCCAAAACCTTTTGTGCTTAAAATTATTTCTTTTAGGTTCAAAAACAATTACCAAGAAAGATACAGATAGAGCAGTGCACTTACTTTGCTGGAAATCAATTTATTTTTGTAAAATGAGTATTTTAACCATTTAATAACAAAGACGTCAAAGTTTGTTTTTCTTTTGAAATACAGTCTTTCAAGAAGCAAAGGAACAATAATTACAAAATTTTAGGATGCTGATGCATGACGGGTGGGGAAGGGAGCTAAATAATTTATCTTTCAGGCTGTAAAAGCAACCCTGATTTAACACTGCAGATTTAACCATCATGCAAAGGCAAGCACCATTTTATTGGGAAGACCAAATGTCTTACTACCGGATATAATTACATGCATTGATATAAAGTATATATATCAACTGATTTAATAGTTAACAGAAAAGTGCTTTGCTTTAAGGTAAAAATAGGGTATTTTGTCATTTTTATATAAATAGTCCATTTGTCTAACTGACAAACATGAGTGATATTTTTCTACCCAAATGTTGAAAAATATTCAAATATGATGATTAAAGAAAACTTACTTGCTATATAAAATACAGAATTTTCCAAGGGCTCTCCTTTATTCTCAAAGGTAAAACTCTATTGTCTCCGTCTTCAAAATGGCACACCTTTTGGAGAAAACAAACAATATTCTAAAAAACTTACTGATGAAGCAATCAGTAACAAGTAGAAATGTTTTAAAACTTTATACAGAACAAAAACTACTACTAATGCTTAAAACTAACTTTTGAAATATTTCTTTCTAAAATCTATTTAGTCTTAATGGCAAACTATTTAAATGTCTTAATTTCTTTAAATAATTAAACTGTTAAAATCATTTGTATATCTTAAAATGAAAGGAGAAAAAAACATTTTAGGTCCATGACTCGCTGCAAAAGCTTGTTTACCAAAATTAAACAAAGCCTTAAAAGACTTGCAGTATTGGAGCTATTCAAAGGTACATTACATTACAATGGCTGTATGAATACTCTTTTAACCACTTACTCAGTAAAAAGGGCTCTTAAAGATTTTTTAAAATTTCAGATGTATATTCATTCATAATCAATTTTAAAATCATAAATATTAACTGAATGCTAGAAATGTGATCAGAAAGACAAAACAAAAACCTAACAAGTTAATTTTATGTTAAATCAATATATTTACCAATCTTACCTGTGATAAAAGCTGTATTTATTCAGAATCATCAGCAACCACACTAATTATAATCTTGTAAGTTACCTTTAAAAAAAAATAAGAAAATGATTTAAGTGTTTTAATTTTTAAGGATTTCTTGGCTAAAGACTCAGTATGAGGAAAGGAAAAAATATTCCAAAGACAAGAAGCCCCAGGTGAAAACTGAAGAGGTGGGGTGGCACAACCTGCCTATTTACGGCTGCAGTTGTTTCTGTACGTCTGTCAGTCTTTGTTTTCCTCATTTGGAACTGTACTCAAATACTAGGGATTAAAACATTGGAATCCATAAGAAATACAGAAAATTTAAATGGCTATCAGTTTGCTTTGCTTTCCTTTTTCCCCTTTTCAAAAATCAAGTATTAAACAAAAACAAAGGAAAAGTTGGCAATGTTTAGAGAATGCCATCATCTTGAATTTTTCTTTACCACCTACAAATACCTCTTACAGCTATGAGCATTAAAAATCAACTCCTCCAGGAGAAATTAGTGAACTTAAAATGGCCACTGGTTACTTTAAATTTTAAACTACAAGCTATTTGATCTCACCAAATGGGCTATTAGTTTTGTCTTTTAAGCAGCTCTAAAACTTGTGGTATCTATGACCTTCATTCAATTCCAAACCAGGGTCCAGAATATTTTGTCTTTCTCCTACCCAATTTATCATGAAAGAAGATCGTAAGACCTTAAACTGATAGTAATTATTTTTACATTTTACAATTCAAAAAGGATTCTGAAGAACTACAATTTCCCAATCTCTTTAAAACCACTTTCAGTGATAAAACATTTCAAAGCATTCACTTAAAAAACAAAATTAGTTCTTGAATTCTGTGAAATTAAGGTATGCGCAACTGATATAACATGTACTATCCTATAAAAGGTATTCCAATTGTTTTTGACTGGAAATACCCTATGAAATATGGTCTAATCAACCCATACCTTTGATTTTAGATGTACTACGTAAGTCTCCCCAACATTGTCTTTACGCAGTTCTTCACCTTTACAGCACAAGGGCTCCGCAGAATAAAGACAAATGTATTCAAAAATACACAAAGGTCTGTGCATTCCTAGTTTGTTCTTCCAACAATTAAACTTCAATTACCCCAAACATTTTTAAATGAGTATGCAGAAAACTGTTATTTTCATTAGAACTGTTTTTTCAATACTGTTCCGTTTTTTAAGCACATCTCGACTTTATACATGCAACAAATGCAACAAATATGGCCCCTCTTCATCGCCCATCACCGACCGCCAGTCCTGCTTCACTATTTACACTACGGAAAGTAACTTCCCGAAGAACTGTTCTATTATAATATTCCTTTATGAAACTTTTTCGATCACGGTTTGTAATAGTATACATTCTCTCTTTTTAAATAACAAGATGAATTTTAACTTTTAAAGGGTAGGAACTGACTCAAGTACGTTTTAACACTCAGGTGTGAGAAGTTACTGATAACGGCTCTTTCCGCTCATTTTAAAAAAGTATCCAACAGTATAGCTACGTTCAAATATCAGGCTGTCAAATAGTCTTGGCCAAGTACTCGGTAAAAATAAGCTGTATTCATCAAACGTCATCACCTAGTACCGTAATTATCAAATCTACTTCCATTAAACTGTCTTGTTGCCGTCGTCATTTTTGAAATACCAGAAGCACTCCTGTAACTTGCCTTTTCTAAAAGACAACAAACGTCACAGACGTTTAACAAGCAGTAAGATACCTCTGCATCTAGAAAACTAACAGCCGTTCTCAAAAACAGCTTGGAAAGAGTTAAAAGCCAACACCCAACAGGGAGAGGGGGGGAAAAAGACAAGTTTTATTCGGGTTTAAGCCAAGTGAGAGGTTCCATTGTTCTTTTAAATCCGACCCCGACGATGGGTTCCCACCTCAGCGGAAGGGATTGTTAAGAGACCGTCTCCGGAGGACTGTTGTGTTTCACGCTAAGTATCAAAATAACTCACCGGAGCAGGCAGGGGCTCCACGGCGCGGCCGCCGCCCTCTCCCCGCAGCCTCGGACGGGCAGCGCGGCGCCCGGCTAGGTGTGCAGAGGGACCGCGGTGGCCCGACCCCACTGCCCGGGTGCCTTCGGCCCTCGGCGACAGCACCCGGGACTGCGTGCGGAGGACGGCTAACCAACCCGCCGCCCCTCCCGCCCTCGCTCAAGGACGTCGTGCTTTTCCTCCCAAGGACAAAGGACAATAAAGGAAGCAAGCAGGGGAGCAACTCACCGGGTCGAAGCGCGGCCGCCAGCGCCATCGGCTCGCTCTTCCCCGCGTCTCCGGGACGGGTCTCCCGCCGCAGCCTCCCGCCCACGGTGCGGGACGCCTC